TTATTATTTTTTTGATAAATAAATAAATTTTATTGAAAGAGCATCAAGATGATGCAAAAATACAAAAACTTCAAAAGGATACTTACCAACTCCTATCCAAGAATGTCATCTAAGAAATCTAAAAAAACAAACAAATCCGGATCAAACTTCCGTTCCATCCAACTATATAAAACTATAAGAAGGCGACTCTCAAGCCAAGAAGCACTATTATCAGCAATGTTTCTTTCCACATATTGGTTATAGATTGAATTTTTGGGTTTAATCACTTCATGCTTGATTCAAATTATCAAGTACTGTTTCCTTGATATGTTTGCATTGGTAAGCAAAAAACATTACTATTTCCAAAAATTCGAGTATTTAGTAAACAAAAATTGCCAATAAAACCACTTGTTGGTCTTGTTTGGGGCAATGCTCAACTTTGTTGAGTCCATAAATACGCGCTTGTTAATTGTTTTGGAGTACAAGGACCACTTGGGAGCTTCTATTTGAACACCATCATTCATCTTAGAACACACCATCTTCTAAGTTCACACCACACCCAATTTAAATTTTTTAAGTTTTTGATCAATTTACATCATCAATTTTCAAATAATACCAAAATACCCTCTTCTTTTCCAATTTTCAAACCTTAACCCTCACCTATCCGTCACCTGCCGCCACTGCCATCCCCCTCCCGAGCCCTGTCGCCTTATCCCCATTCCCTTCCCACCTTGACACATCCTGCCTTGCCTCCCTACCTCATCCCCCCCCCCTCCCCCCGGCAGCCCCTCCTAGTGATGGATATGTGTGTCCTCCAAATGTCCAAAGCTTGTCGTGGTCTAATAAAATATAAATAATAGGATACGTATGGATATATGTTCTCAACTCAAGTGTCAGGAAGAGTCATGCTTCTCAAGAATATCTAATTTATACTTGGTATATATATTTTTTCGATTGGCACTGGAGATATCGGATCAAAACCCGACTAATCCCTATGGGGCCGTCAACACAACATGAAATAAAAATTACAAAATATCAAAGATCTTAGTGACATTTGACTGAATGGGCGCAGCAATCTTTTGCCTCTTATAATGCTAATACAATGTGTATAAAATCTATAGTTGCTTGCCCAAACTAAAATTATCAAAGAACCGTAAATACTTGGCTCAACGAATCTCATCCTGAAATGTCATATCTTGTACACGGGTACAATACCAAGTAAATAGAAGCATTTCCGCATGACCACTGCAGTCGCTTCACATAACAAGAGCCTGCTCGTCTCCTCTGTTGATCCAACAACCTGCCCAAAATTTTAAAATCATGAAATCCATCCACAAGGATGTTGCCAAGCCAACCTGTTGAACAAAACAGAACCAAATGATGTGGCTATCAAAGGTATCATGAAGGATCCTCAGCTTGTCTCTAATGCTGAGCTTTCGGATTGTTCAGACTCTGAGCCACCTACCGATTTAAGCGCGAATTAGGTGTTAATGTCTACACTTCGGCAATATTAGGTCATGCATTAATATGTAATGTCTGTGTTAGAGTAAGTGTTTCCGTAATGAGTTGGTCAGATTGTCTGGCTAATATTTGTCTGTCTAACTGTTATGTTTATCTATGTATTGTGTGTTCAGTTCATGGTGTCCACAATGTATTGTTGTTCAAGACTTATGTTTGTACTACTTATGTATTTTTGTGGGAGACTTATGTGTTTTTTCCTCAAGGTTTTATGAATTACATTATCACCTTTTAACCCAAAACAAAGACAAGAGAAAACAATAAAAAATAACAAAGTTTACATGAAAACGGCTTTGGTGAAGCGAGAAGAAATTTATGAATTACATTATCAGCTTCTAACCCAAAACAAAGACAACAGAAAAAAATATATATTATTTACATGAAAACGGCTTTAGTAAAGCCAAAACAAAATTACTGAATAACACATTCTAACCCAAAACAAAGACAAGAGAAAAAAATAAAAAATAAAAAACTTTACATGAAAATGGCTTTAGTAAAGTGAAATTTTTAAAAAAATGTTGAATTATACATTCTAACCCAAAATAAAGACAAAAGGAAAGAAAAAAAAATTAATATGAGAACGGTTTTAGTAAAAGAATTTTAACCAAAAAAATTATTCTGAAATATATTATCACCAAAACAATGACAACATAAACAAAAGAACGAAAATTTTTTCTTTAAAGTTCAGTAAAATTGAAATTAAAAAAAAAAATTACGCTAAAAGCGCGGTTCATAAAAAAATTTGGCAAAAAACCGTGGTTCTAAAGAGTGAGGTTAGAAGAAATTTTTTTTTTTCATAAAACGTGGGTTTTGATGAACTCGTGGTTACAAAGAGCGAGTTCATTAGAAATTTTTTTTGATAAACTCGTGCTTACAAACAGTGAGTTCAGACTGCTAAACTCGTGCTTTCAAAAAGCGAGTTCAGCGTGGGATGAAATCGTGCTTGTGAAAAGCGAGTTCAAAAGAAAAAAAAATTAATCAAACTCGCGTTTTCTAACAGCGAGTTCTTAATTAAACTCGCTTTTCGTAACAGCGAGTTTCAATTTTGGCAGGTTTCAGGCGACAGGGGTGGAAAAGTGTTGAACTCGCGATTGTGAACCGCGAGTTAGCTTACTTTGAGAAATCTTTCAAAACTAGGCTTAGTTTGGGAATTCCCTTATTATTTTGGCTTATTTAGGGAAATGCCTCCAGAATAAGCTGTGAAAGGGTAGTAGAAGATTGCCGAATCTATCTATACTATATATTAAGTAAAAAGAGATTTTTAACCCCCAAGGCCTGTGGGAGCTTCAATATGTCAATCCTAATTTTCTAATTTTTTGTTTAAAAAAAAAAAATTATTCTCAGCATTTATTAACTTTTCTTAACCCACAAGATTTTTTGACTTCTCTCATAATTACTTTAATATATTTTTCAAAACAAATAATTTGTATATTAAAAAAAATTTAAAACAAATATAAATATTTTTATCTATGTCTATCTATAACCCACAAGACTTTTTGACTTCTCTTATAATTACTGCCGTACTTTTTCCAAAATAAATAATTTGTATATTAAAAAAAAATTAAAACAAATATAAATATCTATATCTATATCTATGTATTTATTTATATCTATTTCTAACCCACAAATTTTGTGGGAGCTCCAATATCCCTATCTAAATTTCTTGATTTTTTAATTTTTTTAAAAAATAAAACCTTAATATTTATTAACTTCTTCTAACCCCCAAGCCTTACCCTCATAATAACACATTAATGCATTAAGAACAAGTATTACAAAATTCCTTGAAAAGTCCAACACATATGAATTTTTTGAAAAGTTCCAACATATATGATTATTATCCCTCATAATAATACTTTAATGCATTAAGAATAAGTATAAAAAAAATTCCTTAAAAAATTCAACACATATGATTATTATTAAAATATTAAACTTTAATATGATATAAAAAAAGAAGACATTTAATTCCTTGGAAAGTCCAACACATATGATTATTATCAAAATATTAAACTTTAATATAATATAAAAATGAAAAAAAAGGAAGACGTTTAAAAAAAAAAATATTTAAAAATCACAATTTATATATATAGATAATTATAAATACAACTCGTATATAGTGCGGACGATAGACTAGTCCAGTGATATGGCAAAGAGCAACTACTAGCCGGAGTAAGTGGTAGTTATGGTAGAATAATAGAGATGAGGTTACGTCTTGAGAGGTTAGGGATGGAGATGATTTGAAAAGATGACACGATTAATAGCATTCTTTTTTTTTCTTTTAATTGATGAAGAATAAATTGTACTTTGCTACCTTTCAAATTTTTCTTACTTGTAGACTAGGTCAGCAGATTCTGTTAGATTATAAATGGTAGTTAATTGATTACGAGTCGAATTAATCCAAATTCAAATATTTTTGTACTTAAAAAAAATCTTAAATATTTTAAGGAGACTTATTTATAAGTCATATTTCAGACACTTATGCTATGTTAAGTCTTGTGTAATTTTTTATAGAATCTCAAGTCCTATTTAGATAGAAATGTATTCCACAAGATCCTATGAGTTGTAAATAAATGGTATTAATATACTATTATATACTAAAATAAAAAACCTAATAAGTTTGCGAAACGTAATCACGTTACGTTTATGTAAGTGTCACGTCACGTTACGTTTATGTAATATCTCATCTGATATGGTCACGTTACGTTACATTTATGTAGGTATCACGTTACGTTTCGCAAACTTAATTTATGATAACATTCAATTTCTTATATATAGGAAATTGAATATTACCATAGATCATATCTATGTAAATGTGAATTTCAAAATACACGAACAAATAACATTTTTACATTCAATTTAAAAAATAAAAAAACAAAGTAACATTTTCACATTCAATTTAAAAAATCAAAACCCTAGTAAGTTTGCGAAACATAACGTAACACGTTACGTTACGTTTATATAGGTAGCACGTCATGTTACGTTTCACAAACTTAATCAATGGTAACATTTAATTTCTTATATATGATTTTACCATTATTTATGATATTAACAACTAATATTGAGGTAAATATGTCAACAAACTTTACACAAAACTTACGGAAACATAAGCTTTTTATAAAACCATATGTAACATAAGTCTCCCTAATACGACTTATAAATAATTTTCCCAATATTTTAGGAAATCTACGTGTATGTAGGAAGAAAAAAAAAAAATACTAACACAAAAAAGTACAAGCTCACAACCTTTCATTTGCACAAGCACAGACACACTTATACCTCCATATATTTGTAATTTTTTTTCCTCTCCCATCTATATATAGTTCTCCCAATATTTTAAATATAAAATTGATACAATTAAAAAAAAAAGGAATTGAATTAATTTTTGAAGGCAATTTAGGATAAAATGAAATTTACTTCCATTTATAGTGCTGCTAATAACTTCCACCTCTTTTATGAGGATCCCATCATGACCCGAATTTATTAAAGGTGTATAAGCAAGGAGAAAGAAGAAGAAACAATCAGAACTCACAATTCATAAACAAACCTGACAACGACACAGACCCGGAGTCTTGACAATGACAGACACAGGCACAGACATAACAATTTATCAAAGAGAGAACACAAAGTAGAGAGAGCAGGGAAATAAAGAAAGAAGTAAAAGAAAGTAGCAATCACTAAGAATTGCTGAAAGAATACAGAAACAAAATTTAAAAGGGCCGTCGAGTTAGGGAGGTTGTTGTCCATCAATCTCCATCAATTTGAGCTTCTGAGGTTGCCTATAAAACCCTTTCACTACAGCTATGAAAAAACCCAACTTTCAAAAGAAACTAGCTAGCTGGTCAAGAAACCCTAGAAAAAGGATGAACATAAATATGAGTTGCATAACACCATATATATATAATGATGAACCAACAGTCCAATCCTCCAATTGTGCTTTTGACAATACAAGACCGAAGATTTGTTGTGAGATCATTAGGCAATGATTTCAAAAATCAGCTTTGGCTGCTTCATTTACAAGACAATAATCATTGGTGCGACTAGCATGTGAAGTCATCAGCTACCAAGGGAGGAACAAAACTACAACCTTGAACAGTCTGCTCAAAGATATGGCCCACTTTAAGCAATTTTTCCTGCAATTATGATTTTAATAAAGTTATATAAAAAAAAAAAAAAAAAATCAATGACATTCTATTTGCTTAGCAAACAAAGAAATATTATGAAGTTCACTCACAAAGGTCTGCAACTATTGTATGCATAGATACATTAATCACACCAAATGGATAAGGTTACCTGGAATTCTTGGCCTAAAAAAAATCAAATTCTAAACAAGTAGTATGTGTTTACTTGTATTCGTTTAGCTCAAGTCAGTACTACTTTTCCCATTATCACCATTTGAACCAACCTATCATCAATTTGACATGTCATAACATCCAGAGAAAGAAAAATGCTTGGGACCCCCTTTTTTGGGGACCCCCACAACCCCCTTTGGATCTCAACCATTGATGTATGCATAGGACCCATTCATATATGTGTAAGGCCCACACCATCAATGGTTGAGATCCAAAAGGAGTTGTGGGGTCCTCAAAAAAAGGGGGTCTCAATTATTGTTGTCCAAAGAAATGTGTCTTCAGCCAATCAGATTCAAGAGTTTTGTCAGAAAAAAATATGAAGTTCTAATATCCAAGCAAACATTGGGGCCATCATTAGTTAAGACCATTTTATCTTTGCTGATCCATCTAGGTACCAGATATATATATATATATATATATATGCCACCTAGTTTGGGACATCACCCAGTTTTAAACAAAATAGAATGAGAAAAACCAGGTCAAGCAGGAAAAAAGTACTTGTGTTGTGCCAAACCATCTTTATGTGCAATATGAAAATTGGTTCTACCTCGTCAAATGCTGCACCAATCATTTGAAAACCAACAGGAAGACAAGTGGATCCCCCTCCAACAAATCCACATGGCAAAACCAGTGCAGGCAGACCAGCCAAGTTGACATTTACCTGTATCAAGAATAAAATCAGTCTCACTACCATGATGTCCCCTGCATGGAATTCTAACTAAACACCATAAACAAAGAGACCCAAAAAAAGGGAAAAGAACAGTTAGGCAAGAAACAGACTTACTGTCATGATGTCCCCTGCATACATTGCCAATGGATCATTTTTCTTTTCGCCTGTAAATGTGCCAGATTATTGGGGCCATCTACCAAAACAGGCAAGAAAAATAGAACTAGGCGAGCAGAGCTGAAGAGAAAAAGGAAGAATGTGAAAGCAGAAGATGTAAGGGCCATACCAATTTTATAAGCAGCAGAGGGAGCGGCTGGAGAAATTAGGATGTCATTTTTATCCAATACTTCCTTGAAGCTTTCCTGAATCAAGGTCCTCACCTAAAACACTAATATGATTGTAAATTTCTTCACATATTACAAATAGCAGCACAATAGGAACATGAATTTAGAGCGCAAAGATTACAACCAAAATGGAGACGAAGAATTAAAGTGGTGAACAGGTTCCATCACCGTGAATTTCAGAATTAGAACAGAAACAAAATAATACCTTCTATACAATCATCACAATGCAGCTATAGCTGGATTTATACCAAATAACTCTTGAGCCTAATGGCTGGTTTAAGTGTCACTGGTCTAAAATTTTCATCAAACATATTAATAAACCAAACCAAACTAAGCTTTGTCTCCCAATCAAGTGAGGTCAGCTATAATATGAATCCTTTTTCACCACTTCGCTCTATTAAGAGCTACATGCTCAATTAGATTAAATAAATTGATTGATTTTTTTTTTTTTTAAAACTGCATCCCATGTCAGTTTAGGTTTTCCCCTCCTAACATTGATCATATCACTTCTTAACCGTTGCATTCGCACGTCTTCGTTGTACATGATCATTTTAGCATGTTCTTTCCCGACTTATCTTCAATTAATGTGAGTCAAACTTCAGTTTTCTTGTATTAGGATGACATCCACAAAAAATGAAGATGCTAATAAGTACCTCTCACTACTGAATCTATCTGTATTGTGTAGTCAATAAAAATATTCAGCACAGTTATTAAGGTACCTGCTGGGCACGCTTGTAATAGGCATCATAGTAACCAGCTGAAAGGGCATATGTTCCCATTAGAATTCTCATTTTAACCTGTAAAATTGAACTCACATGTTATTTCAGAGCCACACTCACACAAATACATCAAAAATTAAATTTCCAGCTATCATAATTCTTAAACCCACAAACACTGCAAATTCATAACTGCAGGGGCACTTGAGATGTTTCATACCTCAGAACCAAACCCTTTAGCACGGGAATCCCCATAAAGGGAATTTATCTCATCAGCAACAACTTGATTTCCATACCTGGATGTTGATAGGAAAATAAACATAAGAAATCCACCAGCATATTTATGCCACTATCTATTGAAGTTAATAAGGGTTTTCCTACAATGCCTTTTGAGTTACTATCAAAATTTCAAACAACATTTAACTAATCTATTTCTAATTATAATAGGCATGCATATTGGGTGAATTAAAAAAAAACAACTAAACACACATGCACGTATATATCTATAACAAGAAGAGACTCTCTGCAGATCACCTGACACCATCATAACGTGACAAGTTTGAAGATGACTCAGATGAAGCAAGGATATAATAGGCTGGTAGCCCAAGGGAGAAAGAGGGTAATGAGACCTGCAAGTTTGATTCAATTTATTTTTTTTTAAAAAAAAAGGTAAGATGACACAAAAAAGAAAGATTTTAATTGTTGCAGGAGGATATAAAAAGGAAAATCCGCAAGGAAAAATAAAAAAAAAAACCTCTGTTACAATGCATCCTAATTCTTCCAAATGAGAAGCCGCACCACGAACTAAAGATATTACTTCTGGATCAACACCATCGTCAAGAGTTTCACGAATTACACCAACCCTTAGTCCTTTCAAAGGTTTAGATTCCAACAAATCCTTGGAGATGAATTGAGATGTGAAGTCGGGAACATGCTGTAAAGTAAATTTAAAAAAAATTAAAATAAAAAACTCAGCTACAGTGCATCAAAACAATCTGGCATCTCATATTTCGACATGAAAACTCAGACCGATACAGAATACTCAAGCATTGGATGATACATCATTAGAAAGTAAGAAAGGTTTAAATTGCTTGTGCTAGTCATACAGAATCTCAATTGGTAGGTAGATGTAAGACAATGCATATAAGTTTATCATTCATAAATAAAACCTGCTCACATTTTCTTTAAACTAAGCATTAAAGTTTGATAAGGAATGAACAAAAGAAGAAGAAAGAAGCATCAAAATCCACAAGAGTTGCTGGCATATACTTTGACAATATATGATCATAGATTGATAATATATGAAGTCAAGTTCGCAAACTAGGCATCATTGACATTGATTAAGAAACTACAAGTACATGACGTATAAAAAAAACCTTACTAGCTTACTACTAGTGGCGTCAAATCTATCATGACCAGAAATCGTATGAAGAATAATTCCTGTGTCAGCAACTGAAGAACCAACACATCCTATGACATCCAGCGATGATGCATACGCCACGAGTCCATATCTTGACACACGCCCATATGTTGGCTTCAATCCCACAACACCACAAAAAGATGCCGGCTGCCTTACACTTCCACCAGTATCACTTCCCAATGACACTACACACTGCCTGGCAGAAACAGCTGCAGCTGAGCCCCCTGATGACCCTCCTGGCACCCTGGACAAATCCCAAGGGTTTGCAGTCACCTAATGAATAAAAAGATGCACCTGAGTAAACTATTAACAGTTACTAATTGGAATTTTGGAACTCAAAAATATATATCTGGCTCAGAAAACACTTTATCTTGAAGTTGAATGGAATGGAAACTTAGAAGGGTAAATAAGCAACTTTTTAGTTGGAAAAAGTACCAATTCAACATTTTGTGACCTTGTTTGCTTACTCTAGCCAAGAGATGGTTTTAACTAGTAAGGTACTAATCAAAATTTGAAGAGTTCCATGTGTGGAAATAATAACATGGAGATGGAGTCATGGAGAAAATGACTCATACATTCAACACTAGTAAATAGGGAACAGGATCCAACATTTGATGCAACCCAATATATTTATTCAATTCAACTCAAAAAAATCCAAATAGATAGCATACCCTGTCTTTTTGAACTAATATGTTCACTGCTTAAAAGTAAATAAAAGATTGGTGCAATTATTTTAATAGCTAAACTTATAAATTATATTTAGAAGATTGCCGGACATTGTGCACTATCTACTAAAATCATATACTTAGCAGCTGAATTTAAGTTCAAGATCATTTGATATACTAAATGGTAAGGGCATAATTGCTAAAGGGACACACCTAGTCCCCAAAAGGCTTAAGACTTGTCAAGGCACAACAAAACTCCTCACTCTATGCCAAGCAAGGGCCCTGCAGTCAGCACACATGAAGCTGAAAGGCACATCGCCTTCCAGCAGAATCCATGTCCACCACAATCAAGAAAAGCTTGTGTTCATATTTTAATCACTCAAATCACAATTTTCTTTTATTTTCTGAATTTCACCATACACATCATGTCTTGACTCCAGAGGAATACATCAAACTGTTTAATCATTTATTTGTTGTTCTAGATTTGAAGGCTTGCAATCAACTACTTTGAATTAGACATATCTAATGGCAAATTCCAAATATCTATGATAGTGCAACATAGTATATGATTACAATCTATCTAGTTATAGTCATTTTTTTGTTGCAAAATTGTGACAGTATTTTATTGGTACATATGCTAATTAAAAGGATATATTTAATTTGATATAGCTAACCTTCTTTTTTGCATGCCAAATTTTTTTTCTTCTATTTTCTCTTTCTTTTTAAATTCTTAACTAGTTTTTGTAACCAATTTGAATAGTTTTTAAAGTAATTGATTGACTTAAATCAATATCAAATTTAAAAATATATGTAAGAAATTATACATGTGTGTGTTGATTTGACCGAACATGTTAGTTCATATGCCAAATTTTTTTTACTTTTCTTGATTTTTGGCAAGTTTGTGTCACAAATTCTAACTTGTTTATATTGCAAACAAATTTAAAATAAACTCCCATGAACTGTTGCAAATGTGTCATACATCGTTCAGGCTTACACAAGTCCAATTTTGTTCACACACACACGGGCGCGCCTCCTATTGTTCCAAAACAGGGGCTCCAAAACTTCAGATGGGGGTCTATACACTTTTTGGATGAAGGTCCTACTATTTTGGACCAATCAGATATTGTGTTTTCATTCAACTCTGAAATTGTGTGAACAAATTCAATTTCAGGCTCACACTTTATTCTACAACTGATTCAATACAATTAGGCTGTAGAAGACCTTGATGCTTTACTGTACCTTGAGCCTTTACACATAATGTGTGTTGTAGCAATGTGCTGGATGTTACTATGGTTAGCCACATAATGTACATGCTATGCTCATCTTTCTTTTATTTCTGGACAGGGTTTGCCAATGCTTGCACTACATGTTGGAATATCCTGCTGGAACATCCGAAGCTCTTTGAGGTTTTGATGCAAGGTTTGACTAGTATTAGAAAGCATAATATTTTGGTTGAATGGCTGCTGTTTCGACTTGGCTGCTGCAATTGGCTCACTGTGATTGGGAAGCCGTGTACAGCAGTTTCTTGTTTGGTTCTGGAGTCTTATAATCGCACAGTTCTGGTTGCTATTGTCATAGTGTGGAGGGCTGCTTGTAGAGCCGATGGAGTGAAGAAATTTTTATTTATGTGTATTTTGTTTATAAAATTGTGTAATCCTTCTTGTTTTTATACCTACCTTCGCGGGATGTGCAAAAATTATGTCTTGTTTTACCAATTTTGTTGTGATGGATGTTCATGGTCCACATTTTCAATGGGGCCCACGAACATTTTCTCACTGATTATTAGTCTCTCTGCCTGTTTAGTTGTTGGGCTGTTGTTTATTGTCCGGTTCATGTTGGACATTTGTTTTTGATTTTTTGTTTACAGGTCTGTTTCCTTTGTATAGTTCTGGGTAGGGCCTGGGGTATTCCCCTTATATTCTTGTGTTAGTTTTTTGTTTTTATTTTATGACTTACTTATTCAAAAAAAAAAAAAAAAAAAAAAAAATAAAAAAATTTTTTCCAAATAACGCACAGTTTTGGTTGCTATTGCCATAGTGTGGAGGGCTGCTTGTAGCGCCGATGGAGTGAAGAAATTTTTATTTATGTGTATTTTGTTTATAAAATTGTGTAATCCTTCTTGTTTTTATACCTACCTTCGCGGGATGTGCAAAAATTATGTCTTGTTTTACCAGTTTTGTTGTGATGGATGTTCATGGTCCACATTTTCAATGGGGCCCACGAACATTTTCTCACTGATTATTAGTCTCTCTGCCTGTTTAGTTGTTGGCTGTTGTTTGTTGTCCGGTTCATGTTGGACATTTGTTTTTGATTTTTTGTTTACAGGTCTGTTTCCTTTGTATAGTTCTGGGTAGGGCCTGGGGCATGCCCCTTGTATTCTTGTGTTAGTTTTTTGTTTTTATTTTATGACTTACTTATCAAAAAAAAAAAAAAAACCCTTTACACATAACTCATCATTTCGAGAAACACAAGCCTGATTAAATTGACAAGTAAACTCAGAACTAAGGTAGTGTTTGGTTCACTGCTAAGTGGAATGGAATGGTCATTCCATTCGAATATTCTCATATTTGATTGACTAAATAAATAATGAAAAATGCATTGTAAATGAAATGATCGTTCACTAAGAAACCTAATGAATGACCATTCTATCCCATTTCATCTCATTCCAACTAACCAAATAGAGCAAAGTAGTTCAAAGCATATGTCCATCAAACCTAATGTGTAAAAGCAGACCACTTGTGCAGTTCATCCAGAAGAAAATGGTTCTGAACCCTTCTTATTTCTAGTTAAAAAAATCAACTTTGTAATTCTATTTGGGTTTCAACAAAATTATAATAGAAAAAAAAAAATTAGTGAAGTTAAATTTATACTAAACTGAATTACTGAAGCAAAACCGAGAACCCAAACCTGGTATGCAGAACCTTCGGTAGTACTCCCCATACCAAACTCATCCAAATTAGTCTTCCCAACAACAATTGCACCACTCTCCTTCAACTTCCTCACCGCCGTGGCATCGAACGGCGGCCGATACCCCTCCAAAATCCTCGACCCGGCCGTCGACGGCATATCCGCCGTACAAATATTATCCTTCACAGCAACCAAAACGCCAGCCAGAGGCCCCAACTCTTCATTCCTCTGAATCCTCTGATCAATCTCCTCCGCCTCTTTCAAAACCGTGTCCGAAACGTGTAGGAAGCTCTTGAGGTGTGGCTCGGTGCGGCGGAGGCGGTTGAGGTAGTCGACGGCGAGCTCGACGGCGGTGGTGCGGCGGGAGAGGAGGGATTCGCGGATGGTGAGGATTTGGGAGGGCGGAGATGAGGTTGGGGTGGAAGAGAGGGTTAGGGTTTGAGAGATGTGGAGGGCTTTGACGGCTGTGGTTTGGAGGTGGGGTTTTGGCGGGCAATGGAGGTTGGGCCAACGGTAATGGAGGAGGAGGAAGCGAGGATTGTGGACTGAGGAGAACATTTCAGTAGAGAGACAGAGAGGTCACAGAAGTTTTCTTCCACTGGTATGTAATCCCTGTACCCTTAACACCATGTTTGGAAGGACTGGGAAGGAATAGGAATATCCGAACAGCACCACCCGTCCATCCTAAATCGATTTGACAAACACAATACGGATAGATACAGTTTAAAATATGATATAATTACGGATTGTAAGTGTTACTTGCACTTGTAAGAATACGGCGCACTTAGATTTTTTATTATTTTTTTTATAAAAAAATCTCAATCGTTAATTTTGTTTATCCTATCTTAAATATTTTTGGTAAACACACCAAACCTTAATTTCATGATTCAAAATGTTGTTGATAGTAGGTTAAATTTTTTTCAAACCGTATACATACAGGTTGGTCCAAATCAATCTGTAAACCGTTTAAAATTGAACCGTCAACCCTCCTAATTTGGAAGGTAGTGAAAGAAGTATAGGCACGGGGCAAATTAGATGATTTTTTTTTTTTTTGTAAAATTTATTTTACTTACTTTTTTATAGGTGTCAGGGTAAAATTTATTTCACTTTTTTGCGAATTGAGGTCGGAAATACTTTAATTTTTATATTTAAATATAGTCGAAGAGTCTTATGTGAACTAAACTGCAACTCTTAACTTCGTTAATTACAAATGTGAATTTATTGTAATACACATATAATTCGTCTAAAAACTGGTGTGTACAATATTCTTTCTATTAGTTTAGATGGAAAAAAAAAAAAAAAAAAAAAAAAAAAAAACAAAAAAACAAAAAAATAAAATTTTTGCTTGTCAATTTTTTTTGTAAATCGAAGTGCGTCATCAACTTTATCCATAGGCTCTGTCGTGACAACATGTTTTTTTTTTGGGAAACGTGATGCGAAGCAGGGTCGAAGAAATGACAGTATGCATGTCCGAGAAAATTACAATTTCTCGCACACGCAAGGGGCAAATGTAAGAGGAGCTAATTTAAGCCCACTAAATTATTTAGGCCCAATAGCCCAAGATTAGTGGGCCCGAATTTATCGCAAGTCCAAGATTGGTGGGCTTGGATTTATCGCCGTCAAACGGGCTGAATGGCTCTAAGCCTCGAAAGGGTTCGGATCCACAAACCTAGAGACTTACTCGGGCCCAGACTCGAAAGGGTATTAAGCAAGCCTAGAGATTCGAGGACCGTGAGAGCCCTGAATTCTGTGTCTACCATCGTACATTGAAACATCCGACAGAGAAGTGTTGGACTCTCAGGAAAATCTTCAGAGATAAAGTCGAGGCAGACGAATTGAGGTTCAAAAAGCGAGGGACTCAAGACATCCGAGAACAACCATATCCACAACACCGAGACAAGGGCAAAA